AACATCCCCACAAAGTGAAACAGCAACTGCTTAACATGACAAAAACTCATATTGATTGGGGTAAACCAAAATCTGTGGTCTGTCAATTTTCCATCTGTGTAAAAATTAAGGTCCTGAGCAGAATATTCCAACAACTAATCATGAAACTAAATAAAATAGTTTGGATATTTTTTTTATCTGCCAAGGGTGATTCCCAGTGATTTTGGTGATTCAATGACAAAGCATTTCAAAAACAGCTGGCCAGATTTCCACAAAACCAAAGGATGAATCCAAATAATTTAATAACCCCTGGACCTTATCTTTATTGTCAGTAACATGCCAAATACGTGTCCAAATCTATGAGGTGCAGGCGTTATCATACAAAGTTCATTTCTGTGGAAAGTTGTAATGTCCCAAGATGAAGTGAGTGCAGTTTAAGTGGCAATTCTTTCAAAATGAGAATGAATATTGGCACAATTTTGGTAGTTTCAACCCTTAAAATATCAGCAACAGCTTAAAAGAAACTGAACAAAGTGTCATTGCTCTGGCTTTGACCCCAAAACCACAAATTAGAAAAAGGGAGGTCAGTTTGGCCTAATTGCTTGCTAATGCTAGCAAGGCCTAATGCTAATTTGCTTTAGTTAGCCCAACAACCATTAACCGTTAACTAACAATTTAATTAACAAACAACAAACCCACAAAATCAAGTGAAATACAAGATGTTCTTCCCGTTTAATCCAGCGCTCCATTGACTCAGTAAGCCATGTCAAAGCGCTGTCCATTTAGAAGTAGTTAAATTTAATGTTGCGTTATGTAAACATCTGCCTTTTATTTTATTGTCTGTTGGCTTTGCTGACAGACTGTCGGCTAGCTGTGTTAACATGTGGAAACATGGTGCCCACCCTCTGGTCTACACTGTTTAGCTAACCGCTCTACACTGAGCACCAGCCGGGTCTGGCAGAAGCTAGCTAGTGACGCTACCACTAGAAATGCCATCTCAAGCCATGGTGACGGGATGGCGGTGCTGCTGAAACAGTGCACCGACCCCCTGCTCTCCCCCTCGGCTAACCCTGCGAGTAAGCAGCTTAATATTGAGCTGCAAACCCTCATTAGCATTGATGTTAGCACCTCTTGCCATGCTGATGCTGCTACCTGTGCTAAAAAAGCACAGTTAATAATGCTAACAATGCAAATGCTAACTGAATAGTGGTAACATTAACGTTCCTAATCAGAGACAATATTAGAGATACTGTGTAATTAAGTAATCTGCGGAGCTAAAGGAGGGAGTATTGTTTCAATTTGACCGCTAGCAGTTTCCCTCTGATTCCAGTCTTTGTGCTAAGCTAGGCTAAACACAACCTGAACCAATGATATCTCTGTGTTTACACACACAAAAATATGTTTCTTAGGTGTTTTTCCCAAAATGTCGAATTGTTCTTTTAAGGTTTCAGTCATAAGGTAAAGACTGAAATAAAAAATATATATTTTCCAAGTTTTAATCCTGTGTCCCTGTGTTAGCATAGCTCTTCATTTATTAGGCCTACATGTAAAATTCAAATTCCCTCTGTTTTCTCTTCTCGTGAAACTGTTTATATGTTTGTTGAATCATCTTAAACTTGTATACATAAACATATGTAATCAAATGTGATTTGGGGCAACTAGCAAACCCTGTCCGCTACATAAAACCACATCTGACTGTTGGTGCATGGATCAAAGTAGCTAGCAGAGTGATATCAGAGCAGGAGGTGTGTGTTTAGGTGAAAAGTAATACATTTTTTAAAACAAAAAACTCACAAGTATCATGATTAAAATGCGTGTAAGTGTGTAACACATAATGTGACTGTTTCCTGTAAGTGAAATTACTCTGGATGGCTGCACTAGAATGCTCACACACACACGGTAGAGAGATAAAGTTGTGTAATATTATAATACAGTCTAGTGTGGATTGTACAAACACTCTAACATGAACCAGACCTCCTACACACCCAGCTGTCTTCTAGGAATCACACACACACTACCATTCCTGGTGAGTGATGCATTATGGGCGTGCGCACCGACTTGGGGTCCAACATTTGAACGCAGCACAATGGAATTTAAAAACACATTAAAACATATGTTCAGACTCATATCGTCATCTCATCATGTCACATTCATCACACATTTCATCATCATTTAATCTGCTGATTATTTTCTTGATTAATCGTTTGTGGTTTCCTTGAATCAGCTGTTTAAAACCCAAAAATGATTCATTTACTATCACATGTCAAAGCAACAAACTTCAGCAACTGAAAAGCTGAAAGAAACAAATCTTTTTGCTTAAAATGAGTTTTAGAAAAGTGTGTGTGTTAAAAGTGTTTTGCTCACTGTTTTATATATGTGCTGCAGGAAAAGCCCAGTTCATGTGCGGTGGACATTATTGTGAAGATGACACAGAGAATGCTTCACAGTTATTCTAATAATTTTGGCTGCACACAGCCTGAACTGCTGGCCAAGGAGGGATAAAAGCAAAACCACAGACTTCATCAGCAGGCAAAGCGTTTGACAACAGTGTGCTCTTGTGGTGATGCACTGTACTACAACAAAGCTTGCCTGAGTTGTCAAAAATATAAATGGTGAGTGTGAGATTTAAAGTGATCCTGAACCTGGGTCAACCATAAATATCACATCTCATAATACAGCAAAATACAAAGGTTGATACTGACCCAAAAGAAGTGATTTTGCAAAATTATTCACTGTTAATGTATATAGGCCTATATAGGTATAGTTGATCTTTTCAACATCAGATGCCAAGCTCTATAATTAAATGTTAATCTCAATGCATAGCCAACATGGATGAGAAGTCCTTAAAGTGGAAGTTTGAGCATCGACTCCATCTGTCAAGGAAGATCATGTGATATCACTGAAAGCTCAACTCCTAAATGGACCCTATGGTCAAATACTGTTTAAATACGACTATCACTCAGATGTTTATGGGGGTTTAAAAGGCTCGAAGACAGTATTTTGAGCAGAGATGGGGGACTCCAGTCACACTCAAGTCGCAAGTTTGTGGACTTGGTACTTGCTTGACTAACACTGATGAATTTTTCAACTTGACTTTGACTTGGTATTCATGACTTGAGACAGTTAACTGAAAATGACTTCAGTTTTTATTAAGTATTTGCATTTTTCAGATTACTGAGAATTTACATTTTGTTTTCGAAACATATTTAAGTGATTCCAGTGCAATGCCTGCAAACCTGGCAACCTACTACGGCACGGCAAACCAGCAGAGGCTAACGCACGAGGCGGCTATCATGGAGGAGGCTAGTCCAAAGATAATAAAATTTGAGATTCAAGGATTATGTTGTCAATGACGATAGTAAGAGGAGAGCGATAAGTAAGGTCTGCAGCTCAAAAATCAGTGACTAGACAAACACAACATCCAGCTTCACCCGTCACTACAAAACCTACAAAGAAAAGAACACAAGCATGTCTTTTAGCTAACACATTAGCTTATTGGCTGGTCAGACATTAGCTACTAAACTAATGTCTAGTTTTGACGATGATTTCAGAGCCCTGCTTGTTTTAATTTAGAACATAGACTGTATAATAAAGATACAAATACAAACAACATAACAGCTCCCAAGAAATGAAACCAAAACATCAGATCGACCCCTGGTGGCTGGTATAGGTCAAAACCTCGCCCCCTCCATGTTAGCAGGTGGTACATGAACTGAAAGTACACTTCAAATAATTTTTTCCCAAAGATGGTTTCTGTCATTTTGGGTAGTTCTTATCACACTGCTGTTTGTTCAAATGTTTTGCTGCTATAAAAAGGGGGTGTGGCGTCATGATTGACCGCTCCTTGTGCCAAGCGATGTGCTACCAATTGGTCAGATGGGTGTTTGGGAGGGAACTCGAGCCCGTGGAGATGACGACTGTGCAGACTCTGGCTCCAAATGATGTCAACATGACAGCTGCTGTATCTGGAATATTTAGGATTCATTTTTGTAAAGTGGGAGGAAGTGGAGATGTGTCGTCCATCTTTATATAGCCTACAGTCGGTGACTTCGACGGCTTGTTATTGCCACTAAATGTCAAACAGTAAGATGTATGAGGTGTAAGCAGGCTGCAACAGTTAATGCTTTTAGCTGATTTAAAAGTAGAATCTGAAGAAGTCAGAATTCAACAAATGTTGATATCTGTGAATTATGTTAGATTTTGACTTATGTTTGACTTGTACACAAAGGTGGCATTGTATGTATGTATAGGTGTAGGTAATATGATATGTTTTGGATTGAGTGGATTGTAAAAAAGTGGAATCTGAGGTAGATCATCAGGATTTAATGCGATTTGACTTGTGACTTGCTTGAGTCATAGCAGGGACTCCACTTGTGTGATTCTCACCACAGTAACTTGGGACTTGCACGTGCTTGATTTACTCCCATCTCTGATTTAGAGCACCATGAGACACTAAATGTCTCCTCTCAAAGCCACGATGATGATATCAGAGAGTTATGAAAAGTATACATTCAAGTATTCAATGTAATATTTTGATTGGAAAACTGGGAGCTTCCATCAGACTTCACTGTATAGTCGTGTTCAGAGACTAATTAAGAAGTCCAGCCCCAGGGTCCACATTTCTCCTTAGTCATTAGTTCAAGGTCCACACAGTTTAATACATTCAGCGTCATTCATGCGTTTGGAGATGTTGTCTAGCTAGTTTGCTGTCTCTGTCAAGTCGCTGTCTGTTATTCGCTTCAAAGCAGGAAATGGCACTTCAAGTGAAAAACTCTGTGCCGGAAATTCACTGTCCTTATAAATAAAGTGCGTTTTTTCAAACTTGACAAGTTTGTGAGTCACTTGTGGTCCATTCAGAATGGACACGCAAACCACTTTAGGACCTGTGACCCACTAGTCAGATGCAAACAACACTTAATCTAAATAAAGTTGAACATCTAACCCTGGTTCTTCATACAACATAGAAAAGAAACAAACACGCACACACACGCGCACACACACAGTGTATTGTGTGTACTCACATGTGGCGGTGTGTTGTTGTTGAGCTGGTCCTGACTGACAGGTGAAGCTGCAGCATGACAGTCCAGTGACACTCGGTCCCGACAGGCAGCGTGACACGCGTACTTACAACCTGCAGAGACATGACATGAATTCATGGAGTCATTAATTGATTCACTGATTATAAAATAAGTAAAGGAAAGGCAGGAAAAGGTTTATCTTAAGGTTACCTGTGTGAAGTAAAATTGTAAGATAAGTGCAGGTGTGCATGGAAACATGAATGTGTCTGTAACGTATATGCAAATAATCCTCTGATATCGACTGAACGTCAGGTGTGGCCAGAGTTCCCGTTTGGAAATGAAAACCAACGACATGCAAAATCTGACATGAGCAAAATATGAAGGAGGGAAATTTTTCAGAACAAGGTCACTCAGGATTTGACCTAAGTAAGACTTCAAATGTGACCATTGTCTCTGTAAAAAAAAGTAGTAAATAACTCCACTTAAGTTTTTCTCCAGACACACACACACAGTCATGTTTCTATCACTTCAGAGGACATTACATTAGAGTCAAGATTCAAGAAGTTTTATTGTCATATGCACATTAAAAAGTCAATGGTTTAATGAAATTTCTAATTGCGAGTCTCCCTTCACACAAAACGATAATAAAATCAGAAGTTAGATTTTGAGATAAATAAATAAATACATGAATCAGCAGAAACAAAGAACTAGGTTAAAAACTAAAATTGAAGTCTTCAGCCGAAAATGTAATCATTTATGTCATGGTGACTTGTGCTTTGTCCCTAAAAGTAAGGCGAGTCCCCACAAGTTCACTATGTAATTTAGGTCCCCACAATGTGAGTAATACTTACTCGTCCACACACACACATGCACACACACTGAACCTTCAGGATCGGCCAGAATCCAGCAGAACCACAAAGAACCGAAACAATGAAGAGAGCGTGTTCCCTACCTGGCGACCTCTTTTTCACGTGCTGTCCGACTTTATCCGACAGTTTGCACATGGCTGCTCCCATATCCCATCTTCATCTTACATACATCCTCCACACACACACACACAAACACACACACACAGGAGTAAATCACACATACACTCTCTCTTCTCTCCCTGCAGTCTTTCTCAGTGTGTCTCAGTCGTGTTCTGCTCTACGCTCAGACCCTATCACTTCAGATGCTGATTTGCGTTGAGCTGCCGCTCTCTCTGTTTCCCTGTCTGTGTGTTGTTGTGCTGAGTTGGTGATTTAACAGTCAAATGGAGGCCACAGTGTGATGGACACACAGACAGGCAGAGAGGAGGGGTGGGGGTGGTGGTGGTGGTGGTGGCGCTGCTGCTGCTGGTGGATGTAGGACTGCTGACTCAGTCATCCACAGTCACTCTCTCTTTCTTCTCTCCGCTCTGTTTCTCTTTGCTCTCTTACGTAGCTTGTTATGACTGCTGTGTCTCCCCATTTTCCTGCTGTGACTCTGCCTCCATTCATCCATTCACCACATCATCCTTTTGACTATAAGGTTGATCCGCAGAGGAAGAGCGGAAGAGACTTATCCATCCATCAGCCCATCAGTGTAAACATCCATCCATCCATTTATCCATCCATCTATTTCCATAAAGAAAATAAACTCCACTGCCACCATTTTAATGTTGTAGCTGTTCAATGCATCATCATAATATGAAACTCTGACAGCAGCCATTCTGCATAATGATGTTGTGTGTCAGACCCTACGCCATAGCCTACACACATGGCCTATGTCGTTGTGAGCATTTATACTTGTGCGGTGGTGTGTCTGTGTCACTCTGCAGTTACACCTCCAAAACACTAGTTGGCAGCGGAGGTTTCTGTGAAGTGCTGTAAAGTTTAGTTGATTCAAAACACACATTAAACACACATTAAACACACATTAAACATGGCTTAATAGAGACAATTTCAAACACAAGTACACAAATCAGCTTCACTATAACTCGCAGCATTCACAGACAAACACTTGTCTTTATCTGGACACATTTTCCCCACAAATACAACACGCTAATGTTTTTAGCACAAGCCTTTGGCATTTTACATTGTATAAATTAGCCTAGCAGCTAGCAGACTTTTCCTCTACTCATATGAAGCCAGGGACAACAGCAACATTTAACAAAGGTAACGTTACAAAATTCGGCTCCATTACAACTCACAAGGTTCACTGACAAAACAAGTGTCTTATACTAAATATGTTTTCCAAACAAATACAACATGCTAACGTTATTAGCACAAGCCTACGGCATTTTACATTGTATAAATTAGCCTAGCAGCTAGTGGACTTTTCCTCTACTCATATGAAGCCAGGGACAACAGCAACATTTAACAAAGGTAACGTTACAAAATTCGGCTCCATTACAGTTCACAAGATTCACTGACAAAACAACTGTCTTATACTAAACACGTTTTCCAAACAAATACAACATGCTAACATTATTAGCACAAGCCTATGGCATTTTACATTGTATAAATTAGCCTAGCAACAAGCAGAGATTTCCTCTGCTCATATGAAGCCAGGATAAATCACGACCAAGACTTAAAATGCTATTTTTGTGGAGGCTTTATTGTCTACATAATTTATTGTTTCTTATCTGTGAAATTAAAGTAAATAAAAACTTTGTTTCCACTGAGGGAAATGGTTTCAGCTTACAGAAATGGACAGGAGGTCTGCGTCACTGTGACGTGTAGTTACATTTCTGGGCAGGTGCTAGCAGACTAAAGCGTAGGGTACAGCGTCGATTCAACACAGAAGTATAAATCCCGCATTAGTACTTTGACTTAGATTAAAGTGGACCCATCTGATGCTCAAACGTGCAGGTTTTTCTTCTGTTACATGAACACTGCGTCATGGCTCTGATAACATAAGTAATGTTTCCATCAATAAAATAATTGCTCTGTTTCATCCCTTCTTTCTGCTGCTTTCCTCTCCTTCATTTCCCTCTGTTCTTCCTCTCTGTCTCCCCCGTCCTCTCCCTCCCTCTCGCTCTCTGCTGTCTCAGGGATAAAAGCTTTTTCCAGACGCCAACAATCGATCAGACTCAATCAGTCCGACACACAAACTCTTTAACCTCCTATGCTTTCACTGTAGAGGCAAGAATCATGGAACACAGTACATACAGCTGCTGGACTATAAATGTAGAAAGAGTCTCCAAGGTTTTGAGGAGGGGGCCACTTTATGTGTTTTGATTGTCAGTGATGTGATTCACAGGTAAATGTATGAAACTTAATAAAGCGATTGATATGAAATTAGCGATAAATCAGTCATCAAATATAGAAATTTCTTAAAAATCTTATTAATATCTTTATTTAAAATATCCATAATCTCTTTAAGTTACCAGATCTTTAGGTAAATTATCAGCAGTGTGTATAAAGATTAAATCATAAGAATCACCTTGCAATAATATCTAGTTTTCTGCATTTAACTAATTTGTTTCGTGTATGAAACTATCCGTACAAGAGGGGGTACAGCACCAGTCCCAGTCCCAGGCTCTTATTGTGAAACTCAGCAGAGGTCAAAGGTCAGAAATCACAAACTGAACTCAATAGCTTTTTTTCCCGTGTGTGAAACTTTTTTTTTTTCTCAGCGCAGGCTCTCTCATCAGGTCTGTGTGTGCACAGAGAAGCACAATGAGCCTTCAGCTCCTCTCACAATCACCTGCTGAAACACACACTCCGTCCCACCATCCCAAAGGTCAAAGGTCAAATCAGCTAATGCCGAGGACCACGAAAGGTAGCAGGGATTCAGAGTTTGGCTCAAAGAAAAAAGAGTGGGCAGGATATCTGAGGTAAAAAAGTTTAAAACCGTGCAGTCTGTCAACATGAGGAAAATGTGTTGTTCTAGATGAATGACTTATGATGACAGGAAGTGCCAGTTTGAGTAACAGATCCATGTCAAAATCAGGCGCTTGGGTAGTGACAACGAAAAAAGGTCTGAAAAACATCAGAAAATGTAAACTGTGATTACTTAAAAACCACACTAGATATCAAAATGCCGGCTTAGTCCAGTAAAGTCCAGAGTCTTGTGAGATGTTTAAAGTTTGAATCATTTTTCTACATCCAAGTATGGCGATTTGGTGTGGCCTGAGGAGTGATTATACGTTGATTTCTTGACAATCTCCAATCACTTTGAATGGGAAATTTAACATTTGTTTGCGAATTTCGTAAAAACTGCTTGGTGAATCTCTCAGAAAAGTCATAGCATGTATTTTTTGCCAATGTGTTGGCAACACGGCAGGACGAGTTTTGTGGCGAAATGTATATGGAAGATGAAGATTAAGAATAAGAAAATAAAGGCAAGGAATAGTAACAGGTTGTGCCCATGTTGCACAGCAGGCCGCCCTGATTAATCAGAAAATAAAGTAAAATTCGGAGATTCCAGCTTCTTAAATGTGAATATTTTCCTGTTTCTTTTCTCCTCTATGACCGTTAACTGATTACCTTTGGGTTGTGGACACAACAAGACATTTGAGGTGACATCTTGGGCTTTGGGAAACACTGCTTGACAGTTTGCACCATTTTCTGACATTTTATAGATCAGATAACTAATCGATCATTTGAGAAAATAACTGATAGATTATGCGATGTTTTATCAATATCGTTTATATGTTGTTGCTACCATTATTTATCATGCTTTTTTGTAAATACAGCAGAGATTATTGGCTGCAAATGCCTGTACAGTAGTGAGGAGCCATTGACAGGTGTGTGTGCGTGTGTGTGTGTGTGTGTGTAGACAGGTGTTCGCTGAATACAGCCGCCATCTGTTCTTTTCTGTTTCTTTATTTTATTCTTTCTTTTGTCGTTTTGTTTCTACACGTTCAAACACGCCTTCAGGTGTTTTATCATGTGATGGAACTCAAGCTGGTGAGAATAAAAAGAGTTATCATATTACACACACACACACACACACACACACACACACACACGGTACAGTCGTCACAGCCAATATAACGCACTTACTAAATAGCTGCAGACACAATGCATGCGACACTTTAGACCCTGAATACAACTGCAGGTTTTGTGTGCATTCTCATTTTCATAAAATCTATTAAAGCAGAAGTTCCGTTTTAACAAGGGTTAAAGTCAAAGTGAACATGTTAATA